ACTGAAGTTTGTTCTGAAAGATAGCAACAAAGCCAACCCATGAGTTTTGGGATTTTTGTCTATGTTGAATGCTTGCCTGTCCCTTTTCTGAGTTCTCTGGAGGAAAAAAAAAACTAGGCCAGATGTCCAGAACTATACTCTGTGAACCTTGCAGTTGGATTTTGTAACATGATCATCCCAGAAGTACAATATATTATTTTTGGTTTGAATTAGACTTACACAGTCTAGTTTCAAATGTAAACTATGTATTATAATTAAACATATATTTCAACGGTTATGTGTATACTTAAGTGTGTTTCTGAATCAGGGATGTAGAAAACATGCAGAGGAGTTACAGTATGCTGACCAGAACAGCTCCGTTCTGCGCTAGGCTATGTGAGAAACGCAGTTCTGATCTCACCAGAAGTACCCCACTTGCTCTCTTCCCTCCACACTTCTGTTGTTTCACTTTCTGTGATACCAAACAAGAAACTTCCCAGGAGTTAAGTTTTCTTTTATGGAGGAAATGGGGAGTTGGAATTTCTCACTGTGACGAGCAACAGTTTTCATCTGCTCCTCATCACAGTGGTTCCTGCTTCCTGGCTTAGCCAGCAGCTGGCATTACAGGGTTGTGTTCGGCAAGCCTGGGCCCAGCTCCGTGCCACAAATAGTGGCACAAATGTTCTAACAGGTTTTTTGTGCTTCATGCAGATGGGACAGGAGGCATGTTATAGCCTATGTCATCTTAAACTGTTCCCTTGTTTGTCCTGCAAGCCAAAATATGTGTGATACGGAGTTAGAGGCTCTAACTGCCAGCTTGCAACCTGTTCTAGATGCTGTAGTTCATTATGAAATGTAGGATTCCCAGCAACAACCATGAAGTAGATGAAGTTCTGTGGCTTCTATCATGTGGCAGTTCATATAAATGTTCTAGCTTTAGCTGGATCTCTGGGAGTCCTTTATTGTGGAGTCTGAAGTTTAGCAGTTCCCCTTGAAAACTAACAGAAATGTTTATGGTTCGTGCTCATTTGGTACTCTAATGCTTACAGTCTTTGTCCCTATTGAGGTGGCTCCTGGAAGTGATACAACTAGGTCCTCTGGCTAGGAGTCTCATAGAGTACCCTAAATAACGGAGGATGTCTTATCCTCTCTTTGTGTAAGATGGGTACAGGCTTCCACCCATTTCTCCTGCAGTGAGTGTGTGCAGCTGGTTCTCTCTCACAAACAATGAAGAAAGGAAATAACCCTGGAAATGCTTCATTTTCCCACTTGCCATGGAAATCTAATGGTCAGCTAGAACCATTTGCCCAGCTAAAGGTGGGTATCTCTTAGAAACTATCCACAGTCTTCCAAAAATGCTGTCTGTAGTATTTGGTGTTTATAACAATGCTAGGACTTTATTACGGTAAGGTGTAGTGAGATTGAACTCAATTGGTGTTGATGGAGTAAACACTGTACAGTTGCACTAATCTTTTTGGAGAATTTAACCCAAGGATTTACCAGATAGTGAAAACTTGATAAAAAAAAAAAAAATGTAATAAGTCTTGTCTTTTTAATCCCAAATATATGCTTGGGGTGTAGAATCCTGAAAAATGAAGTGGATACATTTAATAGACTTGTCACTTAACTGAGTACGTTTTGTAATTATATGTGTTAGAAAAAAAAAAATCATCGTCTGCTTTCATAATCTGAAAATAATAAGTGTTTGCTAAAGAACCTGCATTCTGTTAAGTGGTTTTCAAAAGACTGTTATAACTTATGTCAGAGGTGTTTGGTTGTGGGTTTTTTTAATGTATTAGATACATTTCAAAAAGCCTTTCTCTTTCTTGACAGCTGAAACCATGACTAGCTTTGGAAGAGTGCCTATGACTGACCTGTTTTTCCTTTCTTTCCGCTCTTACATTTTAGGGTGAAAATTAATCTACATCAATAATGATCTAGTTCTTCCTGGCATCCCATGAAGAGATAGAGAAGATTTGGCATTGTAGTTCCATTTGCTACGTTCCAAGAAATTGTGATCTCTGTAATTAGCTATAAAATTACTCTTCATATAAGGACCAAATGTCTGAGACTAGTCTAAAAACGTAGAGAAATTGGAGGAAAAGCTGAAATAAGAACCCTAGTCCTTCTCATTATGCGTAAGAGTTACAGCATGAGTGGCAGAGGATCTGCTGATACAGAAATCCCTGTTGTAGGTAAGGAAGGCAAAACACCACCTTGTGAGTTTCCTGCTGTTAGTGCCACTGAGCATGAATTTCTCTATAAGTTACGTCAATAACTGAATTTCTTGCATGACTCTGTTGTGGATTTGTATAGAAAACAGAAGCTTCTAATCCGCAGTAAAATCTGAGGTATCCCATACCAAATAGCGAGCAGTGGACTAAAATTCAAGTGATGCTATATTTATGGCATGTATAGATTTGTATATGTAGATATATAAGTAGAATTTGTAGTGTCAGTTATAGCCATTGCCTTAAGCAATTTCTGCAAAGGCTGTTGCTTGATATTATTTATACTATTATTTGTATTTTCTTTATCTTATCCACTTTAAATTGTAACTTGAAAATTCTGTCATTGTTCAGCTAATGATTTTCAGCAACACTTCATTTAAAAAAAAATATTTAAAACCCCAAACGACTGGCTTTTGGTTTCTTTTTTTTCCTCCAGAAAAAGCACTTGGGAGGTAGAAGTTTTGCTTCCGTAACTAGTGCAAGATTATCCCTGCTTTTTTGTGTGTCTGCCTGTAACTTTCAACTGGCTTATATCAATACTACTAACATTAACTGCTGCTTCAAGCAATTCTTGTGTATGGTCTCTATGTATTAAGGTGGGTAATGGTGATATTCTTAACTATGCTGCAGCTGATAGGTATTCTGATGATGAAAGAAATTTGTGAGTAAAAGACAAGTGGATTATAAAACGGTGTTTTCATGAGACAGGGTGTTCAATGTGAATAGAAATAGCGTGCTATGAAAGGTGGCTTTTTCCATTCCTTCTTTCTCATGGCAACTTTCAAAATACGTTTTGATCAAGTTATACAGTGCTGGCGACAGCAGTGCTGGATATTCCTGTGGTAGAGCATACCAGCAGTGTCCTCCAACTTCACCATCTCCTTATGTGGCATGCTCCAAATGCC